GCTTCCCATAGCATTCTTCGAAGCTTGTTATGAAAAGCGATACAGGCTGCGTTTGAGCAGCTCACCGCACACGACAACAAGGTCAATGACCCCTAGACAGATGTTCCACGACCAACCAGAGGTAACCGGAGACCCTGCGCATTCCAGCGCGGATCGGCCAAAACTCTGCCGTCCAACTTGAACTCAGCGTCTAGACCCGACTGTGGGAAAACATTTAGAGTACACATTCTCCGCTTTCATTGTTTATTGATATGAATACGATCCTGAATGGAGTGTTGGCACACGGTCAACTCCCTCCACTTTGCCCAGAGAAAAACCTGAACAGCCACACCCCTAAAGGTCATGTCCCTCCCTCCTAATTTACAAACAAGTTCAGGCCAGGCTGCGTCGCGCTGTGTGGCGGAGCCGGGTTATAGATTGGCAGGCGTTCAGGTCTAGTATTTTCCACCTCCGCCGTTTTTGGTGTCTCCATAACAGGACCACCTTTCCCTGGCAAGTTAGGGTTTCCAGGGGATGAAAGACCTTGCTTACACTATCCGGGCGGAGAATGCGGAGTTGGCACGGGACGACATGTTCGAGTTCAGGGTCCATGTTTACACGAGCACACGGCAGCATTCCTGCTTGGGGAAAAACAACCACCGCCACCCTGCAGCCACCAGCTCAATTAGCGGACCAAACAGCACCACTTACAACCTGCAAAACTTCCGCACATAATGGACTCTTAAGTGCCCGGGATCCGATTACTGCTCAGTCTTTCTTGCAGTGCAACTCTCGGGTTCAAAGAAAGCTGGGAAGAAATGGGCCGTACTCGGGTGACTGTCTGAACCGAACGCAGCACCCCTGCCAAACGTCTAGAAACGTCCAGAACAATGGCAGGTGCTTTGTCAGAACACTGACCTCAAGTACTACTGACATACATCAAGAACACTGTGCTCAGGCCTAGGAAAAAAATTGTTGTGTTTCCTGTTTCAGTCCTGAAAAATTAGGGTCGGTAGGTATAGGGATTATCTTTTTTTTTTAAAGACTTCAGTGATATCTATATACATGTAGGGATCCAACCTATACAATACAGTTTAACAAAGTAAAACTTGCATGAGGACACTTTAAGTTTCAATGTCAATGTTAGAAAACCATTTGTACAATGTTTTATCACTCAGGTGTCAGATCCTGGAGTTAGAAAAGATTGATCAGCCCTTGCAGGAGTCCACCCCCCAAAAAAGTCTAGGGTCGGCAGGTTTTTCTAGGGTCGGTAGGGAAACAGGAAACACATCATTTTTTTCCTAGGCCTCAAGAACACCATGCTCAGAGAAAAAAGAGGACTAACCTGAATCTAAGGTTATGCACTGGATAGGAATAAAAGTGAGAAATTTGTGAACTCGTGTCATTCAGCCTCTGTACACTTTCAGACACCTACAGGCAAAACCGGTCCTGACAGGCTGAATAAAAGTTCTAAATGGGAACTATATATGCAGCTCCAGATGTCTTACTGAGGGACTACTACAGTGTGCTACGTGTCATTTAGCTTGAGGAATGACTCCACCTTACTTTATACTGGACCCAAGGGTGACTTACATCTGTTCTGGGAAACAAAATGTGTTTCTACTTTCTCCGTATTATTACATAATAAAGGCTTGCTGCGAGACACACGGTTTTATGGTCTACTGGAAGAAAGTCCGTAAAAGTTGATCTTTCAGGCTTTTAAGGACATGGCTTTTCAAAACCAAACACATGTCGGATTGCCTAACGCCTCACCGTGAGATTTTCTACAGGAATGAAATTGAAGTTCAAGGCATCCAATGCAATTTCAGGGCGGCAAAATGAAAAACATTCTGGATAGTCTGATATTCACGTATTGCCACTTCTTATCATGTTTTCGGCATCATTTCATACTTGAACTTGAAGCATTTGAAATAGCCTGAAACAAGCCACTTGAGGTATCTCTTTGTTTTTTGGGTATGGCCCATGAACCTGGCCTAGGATACAAAACTAGCAACTGTTTTCTGTCAGAGACACTGCATTTTTGCCTCACAGATATCAGTATGCTATATGGGATAGGATTGATTCAACTTACTACATTAAAATAATGCACAGAAACTTGACTTTGAAAATGCAGTTTTGCTGCCCTGATAACACATTGGATGCCTTTAAAGATAAAAGTAAATGAGACAAACTGAGACTGGGATGCGTAGGTGAAGGGTAGATATCCAGGTAATACGATACGCCAAAAAACAGTTACTCAAACAACTGGATATGATTTTGGAAATGGTCAGAAGTTTCAGGTAGCATCCACTACCTTTCGTCAGTGACTGCAGGAGAAATGCAGGTTTATAAGCACAACTATAATTGATTAATATGCAAATAGGTGAAGACAATTTTTTGGAAGTCTAAAAGGAAACATAACTTGGACCAGTCAAGACAAGGATGATGCAAATTAGCCAAGAAGCTCCTGTTGTTACTGAGACAGGAATGCTTTATCATATAGCTAGTACTGCAATGCAGCCTTGCCATGGTTCATGTTGTCTGCTAAGCACACTGGGTCACCACTACTCTTTATGACAAGCTTGTTGGGTTCTTTTACATTCAGACGGGGACTTTAACCAACGGCCCTGTGAATAGGCAGGCTTGATGCATGAAACCTCAAAGAGAACCTTACTCAATACGCAGGTATGAATTGCCAGGGTAGCGTTGCAACAACAATACGGACTAGGGCTGTACAGAGCTGGCTTACGTGCACACAGTACCCAACTGTGCAAACTAACACGTCTATATAACTACGGGATGGAACTCTGCCAAGTTTGGCCACGCATGCTACAGTTTCTAAAAACACATGATCGACTGTTATTGTGCCACGACTTTTGTTTAATTTTCATCCAGCCATTGTCATCTTGACATCTGCGTCTGGGCCTGGTGGTACCATGCCAAACTTAACTCTTACTGGATTTTCTAAGAATACAGTCAAACCTGCCCAAGACCACTCTGGGAACCAATAAAATCTGGTCTATGTCAGTATGTGGACAGGTAGTCACTATAGACAGGATTCTTAACGTTTGTGTCAATGAGGGAAATTATCTAAGGAACCACCAAAAGTGGTAACAATGGCCAGGTGGTCCTTATGTAGAGGTGATAACTAGTTCAAGGTCTGACTGAATTTTTTCTAGAAGTTAGTCATTGCAGAACAGATAAATTTTTTCTAGAACAGATAATTTTTTTCTAGAACAAATGAATTTTTTCCAGAACATAAATATTTTTCTAAACAGATAAATTTGATACAGTTACTCAGCTGTTCTTAACCAACACTGAAATGTCAAAGCCAAAGATTTATTAATTAAAAGTCAGCTTGAGAAAATGACCGGATATAAAAGTACAAATTGCCTAGCAGAAATGACCAATAAATCTATTAACCACCTTAAAGACTTTATAATGACTTTATAATGACCTGCAAAGTGCAGTAATTACCATCATTAAGTTCTAAATGACACTCGAAGTAGGACGGTCAAGGCTGTTTTTTTTAAGTGTTTAAGTTATTGTAGTCATGAACTGGAACGAGGGGGGAGGGGTACAAACTCAGTCACGTAAAATACAATTACCCATTGTTACAACCAGCTGTAACGTCACTGCTAACAATGTACCATCCCCTACTAAGTCTCTTTCCAAACATTTGACAGCTGCTTGGTGATATCACGCAGTAAAAGTCAATAGATGATATTGATAATGACATCTAGGAAGTGCAACTATTTCCGTTCTAGGCATGCGCAGGCCACAGCCCGACCTACTGGGCATCTCGAGGGCACTCCAACCAACATCAAGATATATTGTGTCTTTCCAGGCTAACGTGGCTGTTAGTTTTAACCCCTGAAAAGCCGAGAGGTCACGTAAAGTGGCAAGGCATGCCCTCTTACCGCTAACAGCTGTGTGTAACTTATGGTCTCACTGATGACACAAAACGTAGTGTAGGGAAAACTGTCGATTTCACCAATGGTAAAGCGGTGTAGGAAAGGAGGAAGGAAGCTGACCATCCCTGCATGAGAGTGGTACGACCCAGTTGACCTTTGGCCGGCACACCTGTGGTGGCCTGACATGACCCCTCTCCAGGCCAGACTTTTGTGTAATCGGGATGTCTGGATATGCTGTTTGCCAAGCAGTGGCAGACTTACGGGGGCGAGCCGTGTTTTTTTTTTATCCGGGCAAGTCCGCACCTGTATTGACACCTAGCTTTAGCGCAAACCTCGCTACATCAACTTCACCTTGGACCAGCTTTTCTACGATCAATACTGCCACGTATACATAAAAGTTCAACTCTGCAGATAAAGGTTAAAGGCTTTGGCTTTACCCTGCCAATTTGATACTGTCTTGCCAATATGATACTGTCTCGCCAATTTGATACTGTCTTACAGCCACCAAAATATCTGCTTGAAAATTACGAAAATTCCTCAGGGCACACACTGGACAGAAACAAAGGTTGTTAGGTGTCACCAGCAGAATATACAGGAACAGGAACTATACGGATGTCTGGGCTTAGGTTTCACATTTCAACCTCAACAACTGATTGATGGTCAAGGTTCCCTAGCCTTCTCCCCACAGTGTACGTCAGCAGAACTTACTGCGTCTCAGTGCATGTGAAAACCCCGATTTTTCATGGTTTTTGCCAGGCTGGATGTTTGGTCAACATCAACATCTTTCCCGAGACAACATTTTAATACCAACCAGCTGTGATATCATCCTTGAATAGACGAATACGACCTTAAATGAGATGTGCTGTCAAGTGCTATGCACAATAATTTAGTAGTCATTACAGTTTTGCGTAGGCAAAGTTGACAGTTGACACCCTTGACAAAGTTTTAAAAACGCTGCATAGGATTGGGCCACGGTCCACTGAAATACAAATCGAGGATAATAACATGGCTGCCAACACCTGCCTTCTTCGTGGAAAGTGGGTGAAAACGCTCGGTAGTTTCGACATAGTAATCTAGAAACAAAATGGCAGCAAGGTGTCGACTTACCCGCTCTCTCTGACTTCTGCGTTCCATCCAAGAATTTCTTGCACGCTTGTAGTGGTTGAAAATGCAGCTAATTACTGCGACGGTCACGGTCACTGCTACTACAATGACGATGATCTGGATAAACTCGGTATTTTGTGCTGAAACAAGAGAGAAGAAAACCTTCGTTTACATTTAGAACAAAACTACAAAATTATCTCCCATCAAATGGCAAAAGACAATCAATCATACAATAGCAGCTGTAGAGACTGAAGTGTTGTAAGATTTGATAAAGTTGATAACAATTCAAATGTTGACAGTAATTTAAAACCAATATGACGTGACCAATCTAACATTATAAACTTAGCAAATTCCTAGATTAAAGGCAATCACTGTGCTAGTTATTCGTTGTTTACTAAGGTATACAATGCACAGTAAACACAAGAAAACAGTTACTGAAGCAACTGAACTGATTCTTGACTGACAACAAGTACAATGTATGTTTGCTAAATTAACGGAGGATATAAAGCACCTAAACATCTACGTAGAGTTGCTGTTTTGTTGATCTCATTACCTGGATATCTAACCTTCATCAACAAATGCCCAGTATATCCTTAAAGCTCTGTTGTTCTGTAGATATGCAGCTCTTTGATAACACAATGTGAGACCTTCACACCCAACGTCTAGTTTAACGTTTCAGGTATTCAATTACGTCCGCTAGACAATTTACCAAATGAAGATGAAATGAAATGGAAATGTTTATTTCAAAGACCTCCCCCAGTAATATACACAAAAGGAATTTCAAAAAAGCCTTTTTATATTTTGGCCTTAACTGTAAAACCACCCCCTCCCCACCCCTAGAACAAAATGACACAAATTTGTTAAATGTTGAAACCAGCTGCCAAACGGGATCCAATGAGTAGAGGTACCTCCACAGTACATGCACTGTTGACTTGGGGAAAACGCCATGAAGGGCTTGAAATTACATTTTGGAAATAGGTGTTACCCATGAAAATTTAGGTACACAGGAAAAATTTATGGAATACAGTAGAATGTGCTGACATAAAAACATACATGTAATTACAAACTTAACTACCTAATTACTACTTTACAAACTTTCCTACTGTTTGCAAATTCTACAGCTAATTCAAAACAAGTGATGGAATAAAAGTTTGATTATATTTTTATGACACTTGAAATGAATATGCTAGATGTATCAGTATACAATTACCCTACACAAGTATAGAGGTGCACTGGTGCAACCATGGTTAAAATAGTGTACAAAATCTGAATCTGAAAAAAGCTAATTTCAAACGATATTATTTAATGCAACAAAAGTTATTATTATAATTTTTTCTGACACTTGTCATGAATGAGTTGTATATCACTATTAACATACAATCGTACCTTTACATATTACATAACCTACACAAAAATTAGGTGTACAGCTCCAATTCTGGGTGCACAAAATCTGAATCTGAAATTCTATGGCTAATTTCAAAAGTTTAATTATTTTTTCTGACTGTCATGAATGACATTTTCTTACTGTCTTGTACATGTATATTACTATTAGTATACAATGGTACCTTTACATATTGCATAACCCTACATAAAAACTAGGTGCGCAGTTCCAATCCTGAGTGCACACAAAAGTTCCCATGCCTGCAGCAGCTATTTCCAGCCCTGCCCTGGCCTGTCTATTCCCACCTGTGCACTGGCCGCCTGCCATCACGTCTGCATGCGACCAGACAAACCCACCGTCCGCCCAACAACAAGGTGACGCTGCACATACTTACGTGGAGAAACCTAGGCAAACTTGAATAATAGAAATCCTAGACCTGCCAGAGGGGCAGCCAGGGCCAATGACAACCCCATATAAATCACCCCGTTCTGACATACAGGTTGACCTGGTAGTGGGGACAGTTACACAAGAAAGGGGAGGGGACACAAACTATACCCTCTCTCTCTTTATAACTCTTACAAGCAACTGGTTCAATGTTGTGATGCCTTCTATAGAGTCCAGCAAGAAGCCATGGTCGGTCGATAATAAACTGCGCAGTTGCGCACATGATATCGCTGCCCCTACGTTGTTGTGCACACCTCCCCCCCCTCCCCCTGCTACCAAACACGCAGCTCAGAACGTCACAGACACCCAAACCTCGCTAACTAGAACATGCTCCTACATAACACACCAGCCTGTCTGGCTCACACCAGATATTGAGATAAAGCGGTTTGCCTGAGCAGCCAGCCACGCTTGTTTACCTTCCAGTATCATACCCCTGGTGTAAGCCCTGTCTAGCCGCCCCTACGTGCATGGTTGTTCCCAGCACCAGTCTATCCCCAGCCTCGCCTGTCACCTTGTGCAAGGGGCCACGCAAAGTCTGGAACCTATCTCTGTCTCCTAAATGCGGCGCAGACCTATATAGGCACTCCGGTACGGCGGGGTAGACTTAACTTCTTTGCATGTGACACTGGGGTTGACCCGGGCTGTCTGTCCCGGATTTGTTTGTTTTCTATCCCAGACACTATCAGGCCGACATGACATTTATGTTCTCATTTGCATAAACCCCCTAAAACCATTTGTCTGGCCGTGGGCCAAGTCGGGACCAGCTACTTGGCGGTGCCATTCAGGCATTAGTGTGCACTCTTTCTCTAACCACAATGGCTAGATCAGGAGATACTTTGGATAGTGATTAAAAAACATACCCTTAGGCCACACCAATTTTATTGGCTGGTTGTCGGGTACATAATGCTGAGCTGAATGAAGTCTGAAGGAGGGTCTGAGGTTGGTACATATGTACTAACATGTACAGTTTCTGGTACTGAATATGATTGTTGCAAGCTTTCTTCATAGCCTGTTGTTTTCATGTTATCCTGTTTTGCCTGTCAAATATCCTAGATCCGAGAAAGTAAATTGGTGTGGACTTACTTCCGAAAATAGTTTCATCAGGTTGGTGAAGTATAGGATACAGGAGTTTTCTTTTACACAACTAAGAAATTTACATTGCTGACGTTTAAAGAAGCTCCGAGGAAGGTGTCTGATAGACACTAAAAGGTAAATTTCTTGGTTGTGTAAAAGAAAACTCCGGTCTGTGCCTTTGTTTATTCATGCTCAAATCGCCCTGCTGGCCGCTTTTCATTTAGGTCAGAAGAGTAGAGGTCAGGGCTAGACAAAATACAACAGGCCGTACAGGTTACATGATGGAAGTCCTGACAAATCCATAATCACATTGTCGTAAACATTCATTCAGTCAAACGCATTAGTAACATCCCCTGATTATGACTTATGCAATACAGCTTCACAATTTATAGTAACAAGGAGACGAACTATTACTATAATTTAGGAATGATTTTGTGGCAGACAATTCACATGAAAAGCTGCAAAAATAAAACAAACACAGACTTCAATTGTCAGAATTTACAGCAATAAAACCCTATTACTAGTAGCAGACTTTAATGATGAAGATTTTCCGTATATATTTCAAGCGCTGGACTTGCTCCTCTGTGAGTCCCTGATGGAGACTTCCACCATGAGAATGCAAAAATTAAACAACTGCAGACTTCAATTATCCAGATTTACAGCAATAAAACCCCTGCAGACATCAATGCTGAATATTTTCCGTATTTCGAGCCCTGCCTGTGCCCCTCTGACCGCCCCTGACTGAGACATCCACCTTAAGAATGGAAAAATTATACAACTACAGACTTCAATTGTCCAGATTTACAGCAATAAAACCCTTGCAGACATCAGTGCTGAATATTTCCCGTATTTCGAGCCCTGCCTGTGCCCCTCTGATCGCCCCTGACTGAGACTTCCACCTTAAGAATGCAAAAATTATACAACTGCAGACTTCAATTGTCCAGATTTACAGCAATAAAACCCTTGCAGACACCAATTCAGAATATTTTCCTTATTTCGAGCCCTGCCTGTGCCCCTCTGACCGCCCCTGACTGAGACATCCACCTTAAGAATGGAAAAATTATACAACTACAGACTTCAATTGTCCAGATTTACAGCAATAAAACCATTGCAGACACCAATTCAGAATATTTCCAGTATTTCGAGCCCTGGATGTGCCCCTCTGACCGCCCCTGACTGAGACTTCCACCTTAAGAATGCAAAAATTAAACAACTGCAGACTTCAATTATCCAGATTTACAGCAATAAAACCCATGCAGACATCAATGCTGAATATTTCCTGTATTTCGAGCCCTGGATGTGCCCCTCTGACCGCCCCTGACTGAGACTTCCACCTTGAGAATGCAAAAATTAAACAACTGCAGACTTCAATTGTCCAGATTTACAGCAATAAAACCACTGCAGATTTAATGGTGAAGATGTAGAGCCTGCATCATGTTTCTGGTTTCTCAAACCTAGCCTTTTTTATTGGTCAACTGCTAGTAATGTTATAAAATTTTTCATCTGACATCTGAATTTCAAACCCTCTAAATAGTGTGAAATGTCATTTAATGCATTTTCAGAAGCAACTTTTCCTTAAGTAAATCCGGAGGAAAAAAAACAATTTTTTTACTGAAACCAAAAATACAACTAATTTTCCTAGGCCTAGCATATTTCGAGCCCTGGATGTGCCCCTCTGACCGCCCCTGATGGGAGACTTCCACCTTGAGAATGCAAAATTAAACAACTTCAAACTAGCAATTACTCCACGAAGTTTACCAGCAAGGTAAAACCCTAGTTTCTAGTAGTAGACATTAATGCTCAATATTATCCGTCCCTAGGCCTAGCATATTTCGAGCCCTACATGTGCCCCTCTGACCGCCCCTGACTGAGACTTCCACCTTGAGAATGGAAGCAGTCCCAAGCCTATTAAAACTGCCCATTATCAGGCCCAGACACCTTGTTTGAGTTGTTCCAAACAGACCCATTTTCCCACTGTGGGGCACGGCGGGGGCTAACTGTGTTAAGCCTGATGTATGATGATGTTCTCCTCAATGTGCCTGATATCATCTTATATACCAGGCTTAGCATTGAATATTACCACCTGAAGGTATTGGAAACACCAAGCCCCATGCTACTACTGAAGGCACTGACTGGCCATAAAGAGGGTCTTGTCTGGTATTAGACGTAATCTCCCTCTTTGAAATAAACATTAAATTACATCTTATAGATGACGTGATATGAGAGGGCCAAAAAGTTACT